CATGAGGGGCCCTAATTCCTCTTCAGCTCCTTGGAGACCTCCTTCAGCAAGGACATCTCCTTGGAGACCTCCTCCCTGCGCGGCCCTGCCTTGGGTTGGTCGCCATGGGGAGACACAGTGGCCATGGTGGCCTTGGAGGGCCACCTCCCCACACTGCAGCCCACCATCGCTCCCCTTCTACATCTACCCTCCATGGTCCTGTCGTGAGGAGTCACGTAACGTTGGGGAGCAGGGCCCGGCTGAGCTGATACTACCACCTATTTGTAAATTATTTGTCTTCAACCAGATGGAAGTAGAGCAGCGTAACATGACGTGATGTTTGGCAACATGTGTTAGGGGTTTAAAATAACTGGTTCTTTTGTAATATGTTTTACTAACAGGGAAGAAATTTGTATATGTTGAGCCATCTAGGAGAGTTAAAGAAATACTTGAAGAAGAGCTTTGTTTTTGGAAAGAAGCGTGCCATGTTAAACATCCAGCTGCAGGTAATCCTCCTTAACAGTAAATGAATGGCAAGTCTTTGTCAGGGCGAATGAAAGGGACATTGTCTTGAGAAATTGTGGATTATTTAAAAAAAAACCATCCCAGAACATTTATGTAATAACCTGGGGAACATTCAGAAAGAGAAGAATTGCATATAGTCTTTATTACTTATTTTTTTTTAATTCTGAAATTATGGGGCCATAGAGAACATGGATAATTCCGTATGATCTATCAGTTTAATAACACAGAAACAAATGGCAAGCAGTTGGGAGGTTTTGTTACTTTTTTCTTTGAAAGAAGTGCTGTAGTTATTGGAATACTTTGTCCCCTTCTGCTGTTCAAAACAGAAGTTGGTGTAGAAAAGAATGAGTTGAGGTAAGAATGATAAGGGTAAATAAAGGATGGGAAAACAGTGAAAACAATTAGAAAATCAGTCTGTTTAGGCACTTAAAAGGTTATGGAGAGGTTTGATTGCAGTAGGCAAATGAAGAAATGGAAGTCTAAGAGAGAACAAGGTGTTCAGTCTAGTTAAACTATTAAAAGTTCTGAGAACTAAAGGTAAAAATGAGATAAGATCAGAGCACATTCTGTAGTCCCACGGTCTCTTCCGTAGACTAAAGCTATTCCTTGGTTATATTAAGCTGCATTTTGTTGGAATAAGCCCACCACTGTATCTCCTAATCTTTACATCCTCCACAAATGTAATAAGGGCATTTTTGCCTTTGTTTCCAAATTTGGAAAAAAATTGAAAGAAGTCTTTATGTCTTCTCTTATGTAGGATTGAGACCCAAATCTAAACTCACTCAAAATTAATTTAAAACAGTTGGATTCACAGATAAAAATGTACATAAGCTAGGTGATGTAATCAGTATCCCCCAGATGTAAAGACCATTTGAACCTGCAACTCCATTTCTGTGATTAGGCTCCTTAGGCAATTACAGCACACACCTGCTAATGAACTGCTTAAGTCAGCTCTGTTTGTAGTAAATTGAGAGAAAAAGGCACTTTGAAAACATAATTCTTCTGACTTGTCCTAGATACCTGCAGTTGCACGTGTCATGCTCCGAAAGTGCCTGTTCTTTTCCCATTGACTGTAAAGGGGTTCTGGAGAAGTAGCTGCATTGCAGATGTTAACGTTGGTCTGTTCAAGCTGCTCATGTATCTAACATTACCAGGAGCTGAACACAACCATATTTCACTGCATTCATCTGCCAGTGGATCAAAATTTCCTAGAATATTTCAGTTTGATTGTGTGAATGGATGCTACTGTGCATGTTCTTATGTTTTCTGGGGAGACCCCAAGTGAAATGTATGTTACAAAAGCTTAAAGTACTAAAGATAATATACAAACACTACCAAAAAAATTGTTAGAGGAATGCATGATATGGATGTAAATGTGAAATGGTACGTATAGCAAAATATGTTATACACATAGCATAACAGTGCTGTGCACAATGAGGTCAAATAGCTGTTGGTGTACAGGTTATTCAGCAAGTACCTAGTTCCTTTTTCATCTGTACACATCTGGAGAATTAGAGATCCTCCCTAAGTGGCCTGGGCTCCAATAAACAACAATTGTCAGGTTGGGTGGTTACCAATTTACGCAGGTTAGATGATTAATAAGTTTATTGTTTAACATAAATTAGATGGTTAGTAAATTGTAACCTTTCCATAAAATAAAATAGCTTTTTTTGTTTTGCTTTGGTGGTGTTGGTTTTGGTTTGGTTTGGTTTGGTTTTTTTGGAGGGGATTGTTCTGCTGTCTTTTCGTGAGGGCATTTGGTGTTCCACTATGACCAATAAATCATGCTGGATGCATCGATGGTATTACTGCTGGTTTTTATACCTAATAGATCAGCTGCATCCTGCTTCAGTTAGGAGCCTAGTTCTACAGACAGTAGAGAGCACTGTATACCTATAGCAATCTGAATTGTTCTCTGAAGATGTCAATCTCTTCATTAACTATGGAGGAAGATGATAGTGTTCTGCTTAACTACTAACTACTGTATAGACCAAAGGGATTGTCTTTTTAAAGTTAAATTAATTCTAGAACAAGTTGAAGTGATCAGTTGTAATGGTATTATAATATTTTGACAAATTATTAACAGTGGATCTGGAAGGAATTTGGAGTATGAAAAAGAATTTCTCCATTGGAAGCTTGAAGCCAGTGTCGGAGAACGGAAACGGTTTACTTTTACAGCCTCAGTTCTACTCAAGGCATACAGGAATGAAAAGTAAGAGTCAATAATAAGAAACTTCCACTATAACACCTCATTTTAAAATCGTGGGGTAATATTATTGTATAATTCATAGGCATCTCACAGGACTGCAGATCTGTTTTGTTCAATGTTTGTTTTCATCAGGTTACCTGTATGACCTCTGGGCAGCTTTCTACAGAGCTAACCCACCTCTTCCTTTAGCAGGTAGCCAACAGACTTGAGAATTTTGCATAAGAAACCTGTTTAGGTTATTTCATATGCTGAAACCTTCTGCAAATGTGTGGAATAATCACTTGTTTCCTACTTTTGAGTGGCGAGTGTTAGTTTTGTGTATCTAATGAACCTTACTTGCCTTTCTTAACAATTCAACTGATGGGAAAAGCCCTCCTCCCAGTACACCTCCTGAAAAAAACTTCATCTAGGTACCATTTCAGGCATTTTAGCATTTGCTGGCAATGATCAGCTGGTGCTCTGGGCCATGTGTTTCCTTCTTTCCAGTCAGTGGAGTGCGGATTTTCTGGAGCAGATCCATTCCTTACGAGCTGGTGGATTTTAGCATTGTCTTCTCAGTGTGCCCACCTTTTCTCTTTCAGTGAAATGCATTGACTTTGTAGTGGAAGGTGAGAGCTTCCAACCCTAAGGAAACACTGAGTTCATTAGCTTTGTAAGAGGAATATTGTTTGTGCCATGAGCTTGCAGAATATGTGAACTCAGCATATTTTGCCGTTAAATGAAGCTTCTTCTCATGTTCTTGGGGGCTGATGGTTTAAAAAGACAACTAGCTGCTTGACTAGCATGTCTTTCTTCCTATCTTGGTCTTGTGAGCTCTGGAGATCATGGTACATTAGTTACAGTAGCAGCATGAGTTAAGGTATTGCCAGTATAAGAAGCATATAACCAGGACAGCCTTCTGCCATGGCTGCCTTTACTCCAGAAATAGTACTTGTGGGAATATTTTTCTTATGGAGCAAGCCTAATCCATGCTGGGTATTAACTGCAGTCACTTCTAGTAGTGTATGTAAACCAAGAAAATTATAGCCACACCATTGAAAATACAAACAAAGAATGCCTCAGAGTTTGGAGACTTTGCATGAACTGATGTACCTGAAGTTTCTAGTGAAGGCACACAAGAGTTTTCAAAGATCCTGATCTCCTCCATTTCCTGTTAAGATCCGTGAGAGAAGCAGAGCTTTAAAACAAAGCAGTTTATGCCAATTGATTTCAGGAAACTTTATGGGATCTGTTGGTTTTCCTTTGTGAATTTAGATGTACCTTCATTTCCCAGGGGCTGCTGCTAGAGACAAGTGGTGCTCTCCTCACTAGCTATACTGCCTGTTTTGCAGCAGAATGGGCAGGTAACATGAGAGAAGGGCTGGCAGAAAAGAAACAAGACAGGAGAAAAACTGGAAACAATCTGACTTCATCTCCTATACTCACCAAACCATTTCCATTCACACACCCTCTTCTGTGTAGGAATCTGGGGAAGAAATGAGGTGGTAATATACTGTTTGGGAGATGGAGTAGGTACAGGCTATGGAAATGGACAAAAAAGAAGAGGGGTTTCTAGAGAGAAGATTGAGCCTACTGTGTTTAGTTTACAAGGAAAGTCACCATGGAAAGGAAAAGGAAGAAGCACAGACAAGGGGAATGAAAGAGGAGACATAGAACAGAAGGCTGGAAATTCCCGAAGGGAAATGGAGAAAGGAGAACACAATTCAGCAACATAGGGATAGAAACTGAAAGAAATTAAGAAAAAAGATGTAGGAGAAATAAGTAGGAAAGAAAAAAATACATACCCATGTTGCTGAATTTACTGAAGTTAATGCATTTTATTTTTTGCTTCTCCCATTTACTGCCCTTCTGTAAAGGTGACACGTGGTCTGAGGGCCTCACTGTGTGGTGTCTCATCCATCCTTACACTGGATCTTGTTTTTTAACAGGTTGCTGAACTTTAGTGCTGTGAAGACCTGAGCCTATTTTGATGCATCATATCAAACATCAAAATGACTAGCTGCCTTTGGAAATGTAGACTGGTATTTCTATGAAGAAAATTCTGCTTGGATAGGGAGCTCTTTCCTCTTTATTCATATCTCTGTACTGCCTTTTTATCACATGTTGTAGTAGCCAAATCTGATCCATATTTCGGCCAGTAATGAAGATGCCACAACCCAAAGATTACAAAATATTCTTGCTGACAAAAATGTGCTGCTGTGAAACTTGACATTTTCCTAGGCTTCTGTGTTACAAAGTGATTCTAAGTTCCAGCAGAAGATTGTGATGCCATTGAAGAGATGCCTTAAAATGCCTGAGGCTGAGTCCATTCGTTAAGTTGGGCAGGTCATAAGCCAAGAGTTTGTGGTTCGATGTCTAGCCTGATTTAATAAAAGTTTAACATAAATAAGCCTGTGATGTCTCTGTATGTGAAAGAGTTATCATAGTGTCAAAGAACCACAGAGGCAGCATGGAAGCGGAAATAACCTGTCACTTAACTCTCACTCTTAGCCATTATTACAGTGAGGTCATACCAAGTGGTTGTTAGTTTGTTTTGTATCGTCACACCACTTAGGAAACAAATGTGGATCCTTCTAGGTACTGCATGAAGCCAGAACAAAAGATAGCTTTGAAAGGTCATGGATGATTGGAGGAGGTACTGGAGACAGGAGTGACACCTGCAGCTACAGAACAGCTTCTGTGCTCTGGTAGCAGACCAGAGAGGCTGGAAGCTCTCTCTAGCAAAGCATCTGAGCTGGCTGAGCTTGAACCATGCAGGAGGAAGTGAAGAGTGGTAGTAGCTGGAGACCCTCTGCTGAGGGGGATGGAAGCTGCCATTTGCTTCCCCAGTGTGCTGTCTGGGGAGGTTTGGTGAGGGGCTGATGTCTGGGAAGATGTAGAGAGCACACTGAGCCTTGTCTGAGCCTCAGACCTCGATCCCTGCTGCTCTTCCATGCGGTCACCAGTGATACTGGCAGGGGGTCATTGAGGGTGTCCAGCATGACTACACTGCTGTAGGGTGAGTCAAAGATGTAGGTGCCCAGGTGATTTCAGCCCTACTGCTGTAGGGTAGGGCTGGAGGAAAGGATGAATCCTGTCGGTCACTCACTGTTTGCACAGCTGGTGCTGAAAATGTGGAGTTGGCTTTATGGCTATGGGATGTCCCCTCTTTGAGGACTAAGAACTGCTAGGAAGAGATGAGATTTACCTCAACAAGGGGGGCAAAAGCTGTGTTTGTACCTTATCTAGAAGGATCCGTGATAGTTTCCCAAGTGTTGTGATAGCACAATAAATACACAGCAGTGATCATTTGCTTGTGCAACCTGTGGAGGAGAGCTTTAAGTAGGAGTGACGGGGAGGGAGGTGGCAACCCACGATCAAGTGAGGAGGTGGTGGACCAGGTTGGTAGGCATGATGCTTCCCAGCAGCTTCATGTTTAACAATCTAACTTAATTGAGTTAGTCTTTAGATCAGTCTTTGCCATAGTTCTAGAATAATTGCAGCACATTCTTTTCCAAATTAATAGTACTTAACACTTACCCTACAGTTTTCATTCACAGAATTCTTCCCAGCCATCCCTTCAGCACATTTGTGGGATAAACAAGTGTTACTGACTTTTTAAAGAGGGAATTTGTATTGTACAGTGAAAGAAAATTAACTAGGACTGGTGGATAATTTAAAATCAGAGTTGAAGAGTTCCTTATTCCCAGTGCCAACTCAGACTGATAATTCACACCTTGCCTAAGGTGTGATCCTAAGAGGTAGAGATGGGATTTGTTTCTGGGGCTCTCAGATCCCAAGGAAGTATCTAAACTACACTGAATATTGTGAAAAAGGAAGAGTCTCTGTGACAACTTTGTTTTCCTTTGCCTTTTTTTACAATTACCTGTGAATGAAATGAGATGTTTGGTTTTTGATTGTCTGGAACTCTTCTCTGACACTAAAAGTTTGGTTTTATTTTTATATCACTGAGAAGAGAGAAAAAACCTTAGTTGGCTCCAGGCCAGCTCTTTCCAGCATTTCCGTTTGACTTCTAAATGAAAAAAACTTCTGGCACTGAAAATTGCACCTGAGGCACTAGAGGAGTAGCTGCTTTTGAAAACATCATTCTCACTTTTTAGATGCAAATTTGATCATGAACCACACGATAATGTTTGAAAAACACTGAGTTTTCAGACAAAGACATTCATTAAGCTTGTTGCATCTCACTTCTGCTCCTTGCTTCATTTTTATTCTACTCCTCTCGCCTTGCTTTCTCATTCATAGTCTTTTTTTTTTTTTTTCATGATCTTGTTTTAAAATTTTCAAAAAAGAAAAAAGACTTTCTGGTCTGTCCTGGATTCCTGCACTAGCTCAGTTTTGCTACAACAAAGTCAGATTTGTGAATCTCATTTGTGCCTTTGCTCCTTCTTCCTTTTTGTGTAACCTTGTACAAGAGAAAAGTGTCTTAGATCTTTTCTACCGAATATTTTATTTATGAGGCTTGGGTATTTCTTAGCTAGTTGGATATATTAATGTTTATGACCTTTTTGTGTGTCTCATCTTTCATTTGAATAAAACTGATTTGTTTAAATATAATAACATTGCATAATATAGTAATGGTATTAACATTACTATGTTTATAATATATTTATAATATTTTATTAGATGGTATTTCGGGTTATTTAAATTAACTGTGTTCACATTTTAACATAGTGATTTTTTACTGTCTAACTGTTCAGCTACCCTTTTCTCTTATTATTTCCCTTCCAAACTAAACACTTCTCTTTTGAAAGACAAATGTTATTGTTGCTTCCATGTGTTAATAACTGTTCAAACAGTGACATCTTTCAAACACTATGTCTACAGTATCAGGCAATAAGGGACAATAGGAGGGAATCAAGTTATTAAAGCAATTGGTATTGAGATACCCATAATGAGACTATATGTGGTTTAGGAGATTTACTTCAAACTAGAGCTAATCTTCTCTCTGGGACTGAAACATCACCTTGATGTTTGAGATTCAAAGATGTTTGAAGAGAAGCTGTACCACAAACCCTTGCCCTCTGGCTTGGGACATGCTCATGGGGTAAAATGAGAGAGCATCAGAGCTGGTTGCCCATCGCTGCCCCTGTCGCTGTTGCTGTGTAAGATGCAGTCCAGTGCTCCAGAAACCAAGGAAGATTGACTTCCATGATAACTGCTAACAAATACCCACAGAACCAAACTCGGACTTGCTGCTACACACACGCATGTCAAAGTGTCTGAGGATCACGTGGCTTTGGTGGGAAAGTTTTCTGCTCCAGTTTGGCCTCTCATCTACACTGGTGAACAACAAAGATGTATGCTGCAATGGAAGGTCAAAGAGTGTTCTGGGACAGGACCCTCCATCCACAGGGTACACAGCACATTTGTTCATGCCTGTGCCTTGACCTGGAAATGCCAGCTCTATGTGGTTTTAATCCAGCCCTGCTCACAGTCACAAACGGAACTGTGGCCAGGCAGAATATTTTAAGGTCACATTTGCCGCATGTGCAGTAACGTGGGCTTGTCTGTCCAGATGCTGTTTATCCAATGAGGCAGGCATCAACTTTCCACTGAATCTTTTCTTTCTAGTTGTATTTCAGAATTTTAAACTTCCAAGCAGAAA